GTAGTATTAAATATTCAGTTTCATTAATTTAATTTTTTTTTTTTCTCTAAAAATAAATAACCACACTACATTAAACATCGTATCACTCCGCATCATAATTTGTATGGTATTGTACTTCGTATTATACTTCATATCATCATCTCATGCTTATATTTTATATTTTCTACAGCTACATTTGGTTTATATTTAAAATAATGAATACTCAAACATGGTAATAAAATTGAAAAATTAAAATGTCTATGTGCATTGTAAAATATTAAGCGGTAATAAATTACATATATCTTTTTAAATTAAATTTTTCTCATGCTCAATTATTAGTTTTATAAAAATTTAATTATAATATATAAAAAAATAAAGTTAATAGTAAAATGCACTAAAATGTTAAACATCTAAAATTACTTTGATTTTATCAAACCTTTTTTAATTAAAACTTCATTTTTAATCACGTGAGCTAAATTAAACTAATGTTAATTCAAACTGTTAATTGAAATCCACTTTTAGACAACTAACATCTTTTTTTTTATTTTCGTTATTTTAACTCATCTACACCTTGTGCTAACGACAATATTCTTATGCTCACGATTCTTGTCATTTTCTTGTTCAATCTTTCTGTGTTCTTAAAAGTAAGTTGTCTAGAGTCGAGACAACTTACTTTTTGACAATCGGTATGGATTTCCATCTTCTTGTTCTACTGGTGACTTGTTAATTTTATAACAGAAAAGTTCTATTGTGCATGAGTTGAATAAGGGCTAATGCTCTTGACGAGTTTTTCCTATTCAATATTCTTGTGCTTGTGATTCTTGTTATTTTCTTACAAGTTTTGCTTATTTTATCTTTAAGTTTTACAGTATTTTTTACATTAGTTGTAATGGTATAATTTATCATATTATTTATCAATAGATAAGTTTTGAAATTTTTTAACCCAATTCATACTTTTTATATAGAAATTATTTTTATAATAGTTTTCTCTATGGTATAAAATATTTTTAACTTTGATGTTTAAAAACTATTTTTTCATATAATGTCCTTTACTACTCAAACCAGGCAGTGGCATGTAAAATAAGTCATAAATTAAATTACTATTATCAACAATACAAACAATTCATCAAGTATATTTGTTAGCTCTTTTTTGTTGATTTGAAATGTTCAGCAATGCATTACTCAAAAAAACATTTAACTTCTATAAGATTATACAATATTGTTTTTCTATTCTAAGGTGTTATACTTGTCACTTGTTATCATGATACTAATGAAATGATTTAAGATATTTATAGAATTTTTTTATCCCAAAAAAAATTAGTAATATTTTTATTAGTTTTACTGGATAAGTTTTTGTGAATAATTCTTAGTGGACAATAATTTTAGCAAATTTTTTCTAAAATTATTTTCTAAAATTATTTTCTTGATTAAGTACTTGAGGTACTTGATTCTCAGAGCAAAAGCCAATGACCATAATTTTTTACTGAATGCATGTCCATATCTGTTTAATAATATTAGAATTATGTTCAATAATACTGATTTCATTTAATTTTAATAAGCATATACTTGATTGTTTTTTTTTTAAATCTTCGCTTCCAACAAGGCTGCAAGCAACCGCTAATTAGAGTTGGAAGTTACTGGAAGAAACAATGAAGATTGTAGAGCAAGATAACAGTTCACAGACGACTTAAAAGATTGCAAATTATATGAATCAGGAAAGCAAGATGAGGGAAGTAAATTCCAAAGAACTGATGTTCGAGGAAAAAAACTAGAGGAATAAGTGTTTTTGGAGTTAATTGAATGACGAATAATGTGAGAATGAGTTTTAGTAGATGGCACAAGAGACTCTAGCTCTTTAGAGCAGTGCCCATTATAGTATTTGTAGAAAAGAGAAAGAGAAGCAAAATTACGACAATGTGATCATGGTTGATAGTTGGCTGCAAGTGCAGGTCCAACTATGTTTACAATGCGTTTTTGCACCTTGTCTAAAAGAGAAAGGGCATCATTAGAAGATTTTCCCCAGATATGGCAACAATACTCCATACAAGGCCGGATTTGAGATTTATAGAGATAGAGAATAGAATCCGGAGTAAGAAAGTGTTGAGCTCGATAAAGAGATGCAACTTTAGCAGATGCTAATTTTGCGATGGATTTGATATATGGTTTCCAAGAAAGATCAAAAGTAAGAGTTAATCCTAGAAGATAAAGTGTAGATGACTCTTCGAGTACATTACCGTTCATAATA